AAAGATGACACAAAAATAAAAGACACAAGCGAACAGCTAAGAGGTAGGGAGGCTACTTCAGACACACGCACTGAGAAAGCAGACCATTTTTTTAAATAGAAGGAAAGATATTGCCATGAAATAGTAGGTTTGGTCTGAAGATAAACCCTGAATAAAAAATAGGTGGACAAGTAAAAAGAAATTTGAACCTGGAAACAAGCTCAAAAAAGTGAGGATAAAAGTGGTTTAAAAACTTGTTTGGAGGGCAAATTAAAAAAAGAGTTGAGCCCAAAGCACTGCACCGATGCAGCTCTCGAGTTATTCAGAAAGGCAGGAATGAAAATTCCAGAACTACAAGAAAAAAAAATGTCCGGGGGATAATGGAGACAGGACAGTGCAAGAAGTGACCACAGAAACCACACATAGAGAAGATGGAGATGAAAATGAAGATTGCAGAGCCACAAGAAGTGAGACCAATGAAGGAAGAAGGCAGCAGACAAGAGTAAAGGAGTCAGAAAGGTTAATAGACTGGAGACCCCAAAAGGGGTGAGTGACAGGGTGGAGGAGAGAGACAGACAGATATGCTGAGAGAGAGAGCAGGTAGTGATCAGAGAGAGGGAATTTAGAAATGAGAGACAATAAAGAGAACAGTATTTAGTGAAGACAAGGTCATGGAAGTGATCGAGGCAGCAAGAAAGTCTGTCTCAAGCTAGAAATCAAAGAAGGGAGTTGGAAAAAGAGTGAAGGACAAGAGAGCAGTTACCAGAACAAAACAAACAGAAAACATAGGAGGTACCGGTGACGAGAAATAAAATTTGAGAAGGTAGAAGTGTGCAGAGTGCAGTCAACTCCCAAAGTAGTCAGCAATGCAAACCAACAGTCACTAGGAAAAGGTCACGGGAAGGAAAACTAGACAGGGAAGACGTCAAAGCAGGAGGGCTGCGGAACAGACAGCAGAGGATGAAGCACAAGCAGCAGGAAACAGAAATGGCAGGATGCAGGAGTGAATAAGAAAGGGAAAATATTAAAAGAAAGTTCAGGAAAAGGTGTAAAGTTTGGAAGAAAACCTTAAAAATAAATCCACAACTGAATGTTTGGAATGTTTGCAAACGTAAGGATCAAATCAGGCATGGCCAATACCTGTATTCCTAAATTGCCACTTTTGCTGGAGGACCTCAGCACAAAGGGTTAGGAGTTCATCCAGGCCAAACTACAGGTCGGATATTCAGAGACCAACACTCACTCACTGGGTGGTGCAGGGACGTGCTGGTCCTAGAAAAAGCTTTGGACTGTTAAAGTGGTGATTTGTGCTCTGCTGTCCCGCTCCTTAACTTCCCAAATAAAGGAAGTCTCCACAGACCCAGAGCAAAGGCCTCCACCGACTCCTCCTCGTGCCGGCCACGAGAACCCGACGCCAGTGCTGGAGGGGTCACGAGAAGAAACTGCAGCTTTGGGTGCTGTCTGGAGAGCCCCGAGAAGCTCCGGTCTAACAAGGCTGGCTTCTCCACTCCCAAGCCTCTGTCAGGAATTCCACTCTTTCAAGCGGGAATCAACCCCCAGCCTCTCCAACACTTCCAATCCCGCTCTTGCCCATTTTCACATTCGGGCTCGTTAGCAATAGAGCCAAGACTTCTACTGCCTGCTCACAGGGCAGGTAGCTGCCTCACTGCAACGTACAGAAGAGATTAAAAAACACAGCAGCCTGTGCTGCCAAAACAGTAAAACACAAAGTTTGCCAAGGGAGCTGGGCAGTGGTTCTTCATGCACACACCCTGCCAGCCCCTGTTTATTCACTGCACGTAAAACAGGTTCACTAAGAATTACCAGACTCCCATAAAAAACACGAGGGTCACGGGTCATGGGAAGGGGGCAAGAAATGCAGGTTTGTGTGTTTTTCCTTTATAAAAAGCTTTTCAGGTTATTTTCATACTGCTTAAAAATAATTTTAGATTCTCTTTTTAAATATTATAGATAAAAACTCTACTGGGCTGACCACTCACAGATCTAGCCTTTTTCAATATAATTTTAACATATAGTGTGAAACTTTTTTTTAAACATACTTTCTTCTGTGACAGGCTATAAAACTCACCTATAATCAACTACTAGAAGCAGCAAACTGTCCACAAGATAGGTAACATCTACTGTAACACATACATCTGTAATAATAAAAGTTGAGGAAATATCATAGAAGCACTACCATTTTTACATTTTATTTAATATCTGTATGTTCTATTAGACTATTGCACGCCAGGGGAGCCCTTAAGACTCAAGACAAATGTTTTAAGTGATGTCATTCAAAGCATAAAGTTCACTGTTTTATGAAGCATGTTAATACTGCAGTACTACTGAAATAAAAGGAAAAGCTGGGCAGACATTTATGTTAGAAATGTAACATTCATTTTAAAGTAAACAAACATGTAATGCCATAAACACAAAATAAATAGTGCCAAATGCCACCATCAGCACATGAAAATTAGAATGGTGTTTTGCAAAGAAAACACTTTACAGAAGCACAGGAGAAATGGAAGCGTTGTAACAGACAACAAGTTTTTCATATGTTCAAGGTAACTTACTTGAGGGATGGCTTGGAGTCCCCAGGCAGCTCTGTTAGCCCTTGCCGGGTGCTCAGGGACCAGGGTCAGTACCAGAGGCATCTGCACCACTTCTTTTAGACTGCTTTTCAATAGGAACAACTGCTACTTTTACTCAGCAAAAGATTAATCATCAGGGCTTAAACACTGGAGTAGGAACTCATCGCTCATCACGATGCCTACACTCGAGCTGCCCTTCCAAACACATTAGTGTGGAAGGGAAACTGTTCTGAGCTTCCTTCAGGAAAAATGCTAATAATTGATACATAATCACAGATGCAGAGAGTATAGTTGTGTTTGGATTTTTTTTCCAGAGATTAAGTGTTCAACTTCGTTTCCGAAACAACCAGCTTGAGTACACATGCATATTAAGAGCTAATTCCGGCAGCCAAGCAAGAACTGCAACTGTTGTCTTTTCCAATAAAACCCATTTGACTTTATTATAAAACATAACCGACAGTTTTGAAAATCAGTGGTTGGGAGGAAAAAAAAAAAAAGAAATGAGACAGAGAGACACAGAGGGACACAGAGAGGGGTTGCTGGACACAAGCCAAGGCATTCTGTCAGGGCTCTTAAATACTTCACTCCCATAAGTTGCTGCATTGAAACCTTAAGAGAGTAACTGAGTACATACAGCAGCCAGATAGAAAACTAAGGATTCCTTTTACACAATTTTGTCACCAAAATAAAAAAAGAGGAGAAAAAAAAGGTTCTGGTATATTCATAATTTTAAAACCCATGTATTTTATTCAACAGAATTTCCTTACTACTTGTAGTAAGAAACAACAACAAAAAAAGCCTGACTGAGCTTGATGTTGGATAAACCCACAGTTGGATGTTTTGTTTTTTTAAGCATTATGTCAAATCAAAAGAATTGGTCTAGGACAAAGACACATGGCTGTACTGTGTTCATTATACACTGCTATGTTATATTTAAAAATTAAAGTCACACACAAAACAAAAAGTGTGCAGAGACTAACCATATACAGAGTCCTTATATACAAGTACATACTGCAGATTCTTTGATTCAATCTCATCTTACCTATGTAAAGATTTAACTGACCTTAATAGCTTTTCAGCAGTTCCACTCAAATCTGTCCTGAAAGTTTGTATATTCGCAAAACAATTGTCTTCAAACTCAATAAATTTCAGTTCAAATTCCATTATAGCATATTCTTAAGGAAAAAAAAAAAGAAAAAAAACTCTTGTTCTTAACAGTAAAAATATTACTAAAACATATCCAAAAGGCTTTCCCCAAAATATTGTGAATTTCCTTTTCCACTAATAAGGTATCAGTAAAATAATCTGCATATATATTTACTTTCCAAATGACGGACTGGCAACTTGCATTTAAAAGGCAAAGCTAATATTTGCTTATGCTAAATATAAAACTACTTCTCAGAATACATACAGTATATAAAATCAAATATTCAGGAAGAAAACATTTGTATTATTGTACACAAAGATACCAAAAAATTTGTGGATTAAAAAAAAAATCAAAAAAGCATTGTTCAATTTTAAATATAGTGCTGTAAGGTCATTTAATTTTAAATACAGTAATCTACAGTGACATATACATAAACAGTTGGGAAGTTGAAAATTAAGCATTGCATCTTTTAGACTGGACCTTCTCCTATGTGCTACCCTCCCTGATTCCTTATTGCTGCAAAAACCACCTGTGTAGCTTCAGCATTTCCCTGCGTAGCCTCCTGCTGCTGCAGAGCAGCGTTGCACGAGTCTCTTGCAAACGATCTGACTGCAGAATTAACACCTTAAACCTTCCCCCAAAACCTCCAACAAACTTTTTACGTGCATTATGCCAGAAAAAACAGAAAGAAAAGGGATGTTACAGAAATTTCGGCATGTGAGTTTTTCTCTGTAACTCTTTTCCCAGCACACTTGGCACACCTGCAACAGCTCAGCTCATCAGGCTCCTCTCACGCCAAGAGCTGCACCTACAATTCAGTATAAAATACAGTAGTCTCCTATAACAACCACCCCCCCTTTTAGAAGAAAGATTAAAATAATAAATTTAACTGTGCTAACTCATTTTTCATAACTTAATAAAACTGTGAGATTCAGAAATTTGTTTCTGAATAATAATCCTAATATCTCTATCATGTGCAAAAGTGCAACTGTGTTTTAGAACCAAGGTCCAACTGAATACAATTTTGTTATTAAAGAAAAATACACTTGAACTCACTTTACATGGAAAACAGTGGTTCCCGGTAGTTACGCTTTACATATTGCAACCTGTTTTAAAACTGCAATTTGGCAAAAAAAAAAAAAAAAAAAAAAAAAAAAAAAAAGGCGTTTAAAAAAACTGGTTTACAATTCAGAGCATGACAATAAGCTTCAAATAATTACATTTCTGTAACACACAAAGCAAGGCTGGAAAGCCCGGAGCGTGGCCGCCGTGCCCTCGGCCGCTCAGCTGCTCGCCGTGTGCGCGTGCATGCGCTTCGCGACGTCGTACACGTACGTGACGTCCGGTCGCCTCTCGGGGTCCGGGTTGATGCACATATTCACTAATTGCCGCAGCTAGGAAAGGAAAATACGTGTCAGGAAGCCAGCAGTGCTGTCATTTGGGTACTCTCAGCTTCAAGTTAGTAAGAAATTGGCAGAAATTAGCTCAACGCAGCAATTCTGCATCCGTACCCACATGCAAACCCAACACCCTCTCAGCATCCCCCACATGGGTTTTATACAAGCACATAAACAACATGCTCCTGCAATCTCTGCATTTTCACGCTGCTCTCTAGAAAAGCAGATAAGGCGATTCAAGTTCCAATGCTTTCAACATACAATTCCAGACATATATTCACAACAAATCATTTCCATGATGATTCCCGTGTCCATCATTTCCATGATGATTCCCGTGTCCTACAGGCATCCATGACTTCAAACCCCAGCCTAGGTCTTTTCAGCCTAGAAGGCTGCAATGAGTATGGAGAAGGTAAACAGATAAATACAAGGCAAACACAAACTCAGGAGTGAAGGTCCTGTGTGACATGACCAGGGACAGACAGTGAATCCTCACACAGTGTGAAATGACCCTGCAGATCCTCCTGCTGCTGGGAGCCCCGACATGAACACGTGCAAAAAGGAAGCAGGCAAGTTGAACACACTGGTGGTTATTTTTAATAGGAAGATTCCACCTCTGACTTGGGAAACTGCTGAATTTCAAACTGCTAAAACTTGGGACAAGTATCTGGGGGAAATATTCTATGCGCTTCTGAAATACTGCATGATGTTGGCCCTGTTCTTCCATTTGCCCATTATCAAAGACGGGATACTGGACAAAATAGTCTCTAGTTTATGTTCCAGTACTTGTTCATAGGATTAAGCCCTTAATTTTTTTTCTCCCTTAAAAAAAAAAAAAAAGCCACATAATTAACACACATGTTGAAGAAAAGCTTTATCTGGGAAAAAGCAACCACTGTGAGTAGAAAATACCTCATTTCTGCAAAAACTCTAGTCTACTGGGTCTTTAACAGTGCCCACGCAGAGCAGAGGGAGAGCAGCAGCCACCCCTGAGACACCCCTCACTGCCTCCGAACCTGCCAGGAGCAGCCACGGGGCAGGGGAGTTGCTGCAGTTGACCCCGGAGCTCCCCACGGGCTGGGGGCTTCCTGGGGGGCAGCTTCCATGTCCAGGTTGCACCGTGCACGTTTCCCGAGCCCTCCACGCCGTGGAACGCGCTTCCTGCTGGACAGCCTCCTGAAACAGCTGGCGCCCCTGAGGCGGGCCCTCACACCCCC